CAATCCATTGTATAGGTAATCGTCTTCTTTGGCCTGTCCAAGGAAACCCAAACTTGTAGATGGCGGGCATGCATCCCATCCCCCACCTCCTATGCAGGCGGCCAGCGGGGTTGGTGTGCCCCCCTCAGCACAGGCGGCCATTGGGGGTGCGCCATCCACCCCCCTACCCCACCCCCCGCCATATGGGCGCTCGGCATGGCGGGTGGCCGGTGGATGCCCGCTTCCCCCACTGCCACCATCCTGGCTCCAAGAATTCTCTCCAGAACAAGTCCACCTTGCGGCAGTGTGGTGGCTTCACTGTACCAGTTTTGAGGAGGACCAGTGCCCAGCATCCATCCTGGGTGAGGAAATCCATTGGTTCCGGCTGTGGAAGCCTCATGGAGCTGCAGTGGCTGTGCGGCACAGCGCGGGCTCTGTGGGAGGGGGTTGGGAGCCACAAGACTCGCCCATTCCTCCTTGGGAATCCTTGAATTCCTGTTGTTGAGCCTCAGTCTTCACTGAGGGCCAGTCATCAACTGTTTTAAGTGTTCAATTATCAATAAGCTGAAGTCTGCGGAAGGCCACAATGGCCCTGCTTTAAGTGGTTCGCTGCTCCCGCAGCTCACCACGCTATCTCTGCCTCTCCCGCCATCTTGAATCCTAGAAACAAATTCTTATGTGCAAACTAGTAAATTAAAAAACAAATTTTACAAGTACTTTGTAGTATATTTCTCCCAGCATTGTGTGAGTGATCTATATCCTTGCCAGCATTTGGTTTTGTCACTTTTTTATCTTATCTGTCTGTGAGGCAGTATTGCCTCAATGATAGTGGGTTGAGTATCTCTATTTGCTTTTGAGTTGAGTATTTTTATAGGTTTATTTCTCTGGACAGTACCAATTGCTAAATACTCAACTACTAGTTGAAAGCTTAGCAGCTCAAATTCATGTTGAGGCACATAAGAAAATGGACTTGGCAATGTCTTTCCAAATTGTCAGACACCAAAAAACCCACAGAGCAGTGCTACCTGTCCACATGGCATCACCCACCATGAATTAGAGTCAGCATAATAGCAACAATCTCTTGAAAGATGTGTAATACCTTTTTGTGGTTTTAGTTTGCATTTCTTTAATGATTGATAATGTTGAGCATCTTTTCATGTGCTTAATTTTTATTTCTACATGAAGAGAAACTTTATGAATGTAAAGAATGTGGGAAAGCCTTTAGAGTTGCCTTATACTGCACATACTACGTTTGAACTCACACTGCAAAGAAGGCTTATTTAGTGTAAGCCATGCAAGAAAGATTTTACTTTTGCCTCAGACCTCAGTAAACACATGCAAACTCACACTAGAGTTTTACATTCACCTTGTGAGTGTAAGCCATGTGGGAAGGCTTTGCTTAGCCCTTAGCACACAATTGCCAGCTCACACTGCAGAATAATTATGTGAATGTAAGTAATGTGGGAATGCCTTTCATCAACTCTCAAGCCTAAGTGGACATGTAAAAGCTCATAGTCAACAGAAACATTATGAATGTTATCAATGTGAAACCTCTCAGGACTCATTAAGAAATTCTTTTTTTTTTTCCCCCAATATTAGGCCACATGACCAACTTTTTTTAAAACTGTTAAGAAATTCTGATGGCTTACTCGTAAGGAGTTGTGCTACCAGCCCAAAAGCACAGATTTTGAATCCACAAGCTTCTCAAAGAGAAAAAGGTGGACAGTTTAGTTGCATGTTATATACAACCTCTGAAAACCTGCTGGAGTGTCAACTATAGATGAGTTCTAGCTCAACAGTATACAGCATGTTCTCTTTGACTAAATAACTCATTGTTTCTTTCTCTCTCTTTTTTTTTTTCCTACTGACTGTTTAACATTTCTGTTTTACTGTTGAGTTACAGTTTGTTCTGTTTTGGGGTTTGGTAACTGAGTTATTGAGGTAAAATTCACCTCATTTGTAATTCCTCTATTTAAAAAAACAATTTATGGTTTGTAGTAGAGTCATGTTGTTGTTGAGTACCATCAAATTGGAACCAATCCATAACTCCAGCAGGTTTTCAGAGGTTCTTAATAGCAAAGGAGACGATTGCTTGTCCTTCTCCCACAGAGAAGTTAGATTTGAACATTGTACCTTTGGGATTGCAATGCAGCTTCTTAGGAACAGGCTACCAGAGCTCCATGTTGAATAAATATATATATTTATATAGTACGAAGACTTGAACTTAATCATTGCAGTAAGTAATCTACTGCTTCTAGACATTGGAACAATATTCTCTAACAGTGTAGATATTAGTTAATGTGTCATGTTGTACAACTCTACTTAAACAAATTCTTGTCACCCTAACTGGAGCTCGAAGTCTCTAGGTGGTACAAACAGTACATTATGCTGCTAAGAAAGGTTAGAATGTTGACTTCACCCAGAGCACTTTGGAATTTAGTTTCAAAGAAATAATTTCTTTAAAGCCCTGTGTTAGCACAGTTTAACTCCAACACATAAGCTTTTGTTGTGAATTTGAAATCAACTTGATGGTTATTTGATTTTTTTAATAAGGAGATCAATACTTCTTAATCAATGTCTTACATATTTTTGGTCCCTCTGACATCCTTTCATGACTAATAAAATCATTTCTATGCATTTATCTGTTTTAGATACAATACAATATTTGTTCTTCTGTGTCTGATTTAACTCAGAATAATGCTGCGTGTTCTATCATGTTAACGTCATACCTATTTATGGCTATGTTTGTGTGCATTTCAATACCACATTTTATTTTTTTACTGGTGATAGATTTGCTAGTTCCACATTTGCCTAATATAAATAAAATTGTCTCAAACAGTGGGGTGCACAGATATATTTGAGGCCCTCTTTCACTTGCTTTGGTATAGTCCTACCAGAGAATTGCTGAGTCAAATGCCAGTTTTCATATTCAGCTCTTTAAGGAAATGACATGCTCTTTTCCATAATACCTCACTATCTGACAGTCCCATCATTAATGGATGATGATTCCCATTTCTCTACGCTCACTTTATCCCCCCACCCCTATTTTTCTGATGATATTCTTTCTGTTGCAGTCAAAGTGGCATACTAGGATGGTTTAGATTAGCAGTTATGTAATGGCTAATGGGAGGTCTAGGGAGCACTGATGGCTTAGTGGTAAGAAGCTAGGATGCAAACTCAAAGGCTTATAGTTCGAATCCACCAGCTGCTACATGGGATAAGGATGGGCAATCCTATGCATTTTACTGCCTCTGAAAACCAGCTAGAGGGTCAGCTCTTTGTTTGTTGATAAGACATTTTGGCTGTTGCCATGTTCTTGCAATTGTGAATAACACTGTTATGAACATTGGTCTACAGTTTCCATTTGTATCTCAGTTCTGCTCTTCTCAGAGTATATTCCGAGCAGTGGAATAGCTGGATCACATGGCTTTTTGAGGAAATGACAAATTGTCTTCCAGAGTGGTTGTACCATTTTACAGTCTCACCAACAGTGTATGAGAGATCTAGGCTTTCCACATTCTCTCTGGCATTTATTGCTTGCTGTTAAGTTAAACTTTGGCAGAGTCTTAATGGCTAATGGTTCTAAGCATCTTTTCATATATTTATTGGCCATTTGTGTAACTTCTTTTGTGAAATGTGCATTCGGATATTTTGCCCATTTTTTACTAGATTGCCTTTTTATTGTTGGACTGTAGGAGTTCTTGATTAGATAATAACCTAAATATGAAATAATATTTAATATATGTTTCCCAAATATTTTTCCTGAACGTTGTTCCAGTAAGTTGTATTGATAAGATATTTTTAAACAATCTTTTTGATGTGCATAAATTTTAAATTTTTATATAATCCATTTTATGTGTTTTTTGTTGTTGTTGATCATACTTGTGTTATCCCTGAGAATCTATAAAAACGAGGTCTGAAAGTCTTGCTTTAAAAGTGTTACTGGCTTAGTTTATTTAGTTCTTTGACTCATTTTTATTACTTTTTTAATAAATTAGGGGAGTATGAGCTCTACTTCATTCTATTGTATTTGGAAATCTAGTTATCTAAGCACCATTTGTTGATGAGATTGTTGTTTTCACAATTGGATTAATTTACGTCATTGTGAAAGATCCATTATTAATAGATATATGATTTCTCCCATCCCGGACTCTTAATTCTGTTCCATTCATGTATTTGTCCTTGTATCACAATTATACTATTTTTGTTAATATAATATTAGGGTGTATATTTTCAAATCTAGAACATTTGTGGATTTTTTAGGTCTTTTTTTTTTAACGTAATCAGTCAAAGCCCGTAATAAAGGTAAAAAGATGTTCCTTAACTATTTTGTAGAAGCTTTTTGTACATAAGATTGCTAGTATATTGTTTAATTATTGCCTCTTGATGCTGACAAAGTCAAACAACTTAAGTTCGTGTTTTTAAAGTATGTGTTTTAGATCAAAGACTTTCTGTAGTGATAATTTGGATTCTGATATCTTTAATAAAATCTTTACCTGCTTGGTGTGAAACAATGGTACTCATTTATGCTGTTTATCTTCTTGAAAAATAATAATATAATTTTTAATTAACTGATTTAAAACTAGTACTTGTCAATCTTTCGTTCTTCAGTTTCAAGGGAATTTCTTATTATACGTTGTTTTCATTGCCATTAAAATAGCTTCCTATAAATAAACTCCATAATGGATCTGTGGGTTTTGTGGAGTTTATTATATAATACTTAGAGGATAAAGTAGATTCACCTTCACTCTTCCTTGTTTCTTCGTCTGAGTTCTAGCTTTAAAAACTTCTTAAGCATGGTAGACTGGTTATAAAATTGCAAATATTGTAAGGGTAGGTTTAGGAAAAAAGATCCTACTTATAAGATTCATACTTATAATTTGAAATTTCTACTTTAATTGTTCTTTGTGTTCTCTTTTAGGTTGGTGACATTGTGATGGTCAAAGAAGATGAAACCTTTCCTTGTGACCTAATATTCCTTTCCAGCAACAGAGGAGATGGAACCTGCCATGTTACAACTGTCAGTTTAGATGGAGAATCAAGTCATAAGGTAATGTTCTTTTGGTTTTTTAATACTTTCTATTGGTTTTCATATAATGATTTCTTCACATTTTGTTTAAGTCATATACATTGTGTTTTATACAATATTTCATTTGCAGTGTGTTTCATTCAGTCATTCATATAGATTCTATTTTTGTTCCTTTTAAATTTTAAAATTACAGTATAATGTCTTAAAATGTATTCAGAGCATTAGAGGTATGATCATATGCTTTTGTAACCATAGAAGGTTAGCATCCTGTCTGGAAAAAAAAAATCAATATTTTAGATGGTTGTAACAAGAAAAATTTTAGGGAACTATGTGGTCCAATATTTTTGTTACTTTGGTTTGTGCTTGTTTCCTACTTTCTGCTCTCAGTGTCTGTAACTATCATGTTAATGGAATAATTTTAGTATTAGCCTGTATGATTTAGCTGATAGAGTAAATTATGTATTCATGGAATGAATTAATTTTGAAGGCTTTTCTTTCACTAGTCAAAATTAATGTCTTTCCTATCCTAGAATTATATAAAAGAGCTACACATAGTTCTTAATTTTTACCTGCTACCTTAGCAAGTGTAAGTATTTCATAATTATCTTCTGAATTAAAAGTTAACTTCTACTCAGTATGAAATTTTGTACCAGTGGCTGATTGAACAAACGTTTTGTTTAATGACCACTAATGTAGCATGTAATTAATTTTAGATTTTTGTGCTTTTCAAAAAGCACCAAGTCTCCAAAGAGTTTGTGAAAGTGAGCATAATAGCTCATAAAAGTGCAACCCTGAACAATGCTTAAGCCGTACCTTTAGATAGAGGCAGTCTCTATAGGACAGGGAAAGTTGCGGAAACTCCAGAAGATATACCTATCTTCATGAAATTGTTGTATTAAACAGCTGTGAATTCATTTGGGTTTTTTACTCCCTCAAAATTTACTTTTGTTTTTTCTATGTAGACAGAGCCTAAGAGAATTACCATTTTGCTGTGATATAAACAGTAGTACTTTTGGGGAAATAGAAATACTGGGTAATTTGTGTGTGTGTTCAGATGCATCACTGTTTTCAAGATAGAATTCTATGGCAGTTTTCCTGGTAGAGAACTAAAATACTAGAACAGTTATTTCATTTCAGATAGTTTGTTTATTGGTACTTGGTATTTTAATTGTATTCTCTCTTAGGTTTTGTTTGTTATTTATTTTATTTAAATTTTTTCTATTCATATACATTGTGCTTCATACAGTCTTCCTTTCATTTACTTTGAATATCACACAATCATTCATATATTTTATAAAATTAATTACTGCTAATCTATGCCTATCAGTATTTTTATTACTAGGTCTTTTCCAGTCCTCATTGAAACTTTTTATTTCTTTACCACCACGTCCATCTGTCCACTAAAACCTGCAGTCCTAGAGATTTGCTTCCTTATTTTCTACCTCCTCCTCTCTTTCCCCTTTTTTACATGTATATACATCTTACTGGTTATCTTGTTTATTTTTACAATAATCGTCTTATACTGTATTTTTCCTTATGAGGCTGAGTTCTTTTACCCATTGCGATGCTCTTTATAGACTCTCCCATCTTATATAGTGTTTTACAAACTTGTTTCTTAGTGGTGCCTAGTATACTCTCTAGGTTTTGTTTTTGTGTCTTAGATTTGGTTTATGGGACTTAAGTTATATGGGTTCTTTTTAAGAAGCAAGTTTTATGTGCATGCTTGCCATTTTCACATCTGTGAAATGAAATAGACTCTCTTTTTGAATTTTAATTTAGGATATAAGAACACTACTAGGAAATAGGAGGCTCTGGTGGCATAGCTCGTAGAGGATTGCACTGCTCACTGAGAGCGGGTACCTCTCTGGAATAAAGATGGGCAGTTCTCCTCCCATGTGTTTTGAAAGCCTCAAATCTAGTGGAGGGACCACTATGAGTTGATTCCAACTTGGCGTAAATGAGATCGTGTTTGTTAGAATTAGAAAATGTCCCCAAAGAGAAAAAATAAGAGATTCAGAGATACCTTCCCTTTCTCCAAGTCCTCAATCACAAGTTTGGCTTTCCTTCGCAAATAAATGTAGTGGTAAAGGCCCTATTCTTATGCTTATAAATACTATCTAGGCCAGTTCTCAAACTGTGGTGTTCATCTAGCAGCTTGACTGTTACTTGAAATTTATTGGAAATGTAATTTTTTTTTTTTTATTACCAGACTTTGTAAATCAGAAACTCTGGTGTTGGAAGGCAGGAATCTGTTTTAGCAAGCACTCCAGTGATGCTGATGCTTGCTCAAGTTAGAGAATTACTCTGGTGTAGATCCAGAAGCCTTGGTGACATAGTACCTTATATATTGAGCCATATAAACGATTTGAATGTTTAACAGTTCAGAACCATCAGTTGCACCAAAGGGGAAATATGGACTGTCTCTTTCTGTGTAGCTTTTCCAGTTTTGAAACCCTCTGGAGCACCCCAGGGTCCAGAATGTACTCAGTGGTAGTGGGTTTCATCTGGTTTGGCATTGGTCTAGAGAAGCATCACATAGGAAGCTTATATGCTATCACAACAATGATGTTCATACAATTTGTACAGAGCAGATAAGAAAGAAGAAGTGATGCCTTTCTGTAAACAATAGGACCTAAATGGAAAGGAACAATTTACCTTTTAAATTTGTTTCCAGATTGATATCCAGCACTATGACTGATAAATTCAAGTCTCTTTTTTTAAATATATTACTAATAATTGCTGTTTGCATATTAGTTTTAAATATGAGGACAATAAGTGAGAATGGAAGTATTGAAAGTTTTGAGCACAGTGATAAATATATATAATAATACCTTATATTCCTATAGCTTTTGAATTTTTCATTGTACATATACTTTCATATAGTAAACCAGTCATTGCAATTAGACTTGATTAGATTCAGAAAAAAATTAAATCTTGATGCTGTACTAAGAAAACACTGGCTAGTATGTTTGTTTTTATCATTTTGGTTATGAATTCCCAATTCTTGGAAATTTCTAGACTCATTATGCAGTTCAAGATACAAAGGGATTTCATACTGAAGAAGACATAGATGGGCTCCATGCTACAATTGAATGTGAGCAGCCTCAGCCCGATCTCTACAAGTAAGCAGAATCTTTGTATTCCTCTTAAGCATTTTCCATGGAGTTGTACAATTTGATGGGTGGAGGGGTGAGGGAAAGTGGAAGAATCTGGTCTGAAAAACAGTATCTAAATTTTGTAAATAAACTAGTATAATTAAGAAAAAATTATACTTCTGAAAGTTGGACAGTGAATAAGGAAGACTGAAGAAGAATTGATGTCTTTGAATTGTAATGTTGGTGAAAAGTAGTGAATATACCAAGGACTGCCAACAGGACAGGTCTGTCTTGAAGGAAGTGTAACTAGAGTACTCCTTGGAGACAAGGATGGTAACATTTCATGTCCCTTACCCTGGTCATGTTTTCAGAAGGAACCAGTCCCTAGAGAAGGACACTGTTCTGGGAAAAGTAGAGTGTCACCAAGGAGAGAAAGACCCTCACTGAGAGGAATTGGCATAGTGACTACCACAGTGTGCTTGAGCATGGCAGAGACAGGAGGGTGGTGCAGGCTGGGGCAAGGTTCAGATCTGATGATCACGGGGTCACAATGAATCATAGTAGACTTGATGACGTCAAACAAGAAAAACAAAACAAGGCTTCAGATCTGTAGTTTAAAAATCCCTGAAAAGACTTAATGGAAGTACATTTGTTAAAGAAAAAGTAATTTTCTTTATTTTGAGGCGGAAAGATGTGAAACCGAATGTTAAGGAAAACATTGTAGTCCATAAATATAATTGTAAAGTAAAGAAGAATGTCCAGCTGTTCTCACAGTGACTCTCACTCTTCTGAGAACTGTCCCTATAACCCTTTGAATGGAGTGAGTATGCCAACCTTTTGGTTAACACTCTCAGGGACTTCAGACAAATAAGAAAGAAGGAAATAAAGTGGTTTAATCACATTGAATGTATTTTTTAGTAAAGCACCATAATTTATACATAACACGCATTCCTTTCTTAAAAATATATATGTTACAGAAATGTGCATGAGGTTCTGAATATTTCAGTAATTTCACTTTTTCTGTTGTCAGATTTGTTGGTCGTATAAATGTTTACAATGATCTAAATGACCCTGTGGTAAGGTAAGGAAATATATTTTCTTTCAACATTTTGACAATATTTATCTGTATTAGTAAATTCAAAGTTAATTTCTTTTCTTAATAAGAGGTCTTATAATTTTCCTTTTAGTTTCTGAAAAAATTTTTCTGGTTTTATTTGTGTATTCACATCTTCTTTTGTTAACAGTTATCCATGAATATTCTTACATTGTACTGTTGAGAATGCTTTCTTACAGATTAGTTCCAAGGCAAATTATATGGTAGTTTTCTTCCATTAGAAATGCCCTCTTAGAATGTACATAATAATTCATCTTCAACTTACAAAGTTGAAAGTTTGTAAACCATTGTATTGGAATATATTAATGTACTCATTAATTGGTGAAACAAATTATTGGGTTTATATTACTTTCCAGATTTAATAGAAGATATTTCACAAAGGACATGTTTTAGTCTGCCTTAATAATATATAAAGCTATTATCAGGTAATGAAGATATATTACTGATATTGAATACAGGTTCACACATTTGTTCAGTTAATCATAGAGATTAAAGTGAATTGTCATATACCCTATAAACTCACAAGAAAATGAAAACTCATCAAATATCTAACCATGTGACTCTGATTTAGAAGTACATCTAGTCGTTGATGTAGAATAGGCAATAACTTACTGTAATTCACCATTATAGAAGTCTGGATCTTTAAGCTGAGTTTGTGCTTTCTTAAGCCTGTAAATATTTTATCAAGGCATTATTTAAAAATCTTAACTGAAGAATTTTCTGTTAAGCTATTTAAATGATACAATTTAAGTAATTGATTTTAAATGGATTTTGAAGTTTTACATAGATCCCCTTGCTAGAGAAATTCTTTTTCTAATTCAGACTGTCTCCAAATTGTTTATGCCTAAATGTGTTAAACAACATGTTTACTCATCAGTAGAAATATACTCTATGGAAATTATAAAATAGATACTGAAGTAAGATCCATCTGACATTGGCAATGATGTCCCTAGTACCATGGACTCTTCTAAACCCATCCTGTACTTCTGGTAGTTCTCTGTTCATGTATTCTTGTTATTGACATACTGGGCATTGACATACTGGGATTAGGCTTGGGACATTTTTAATCAGACAGTCATCTGCTGTGTTGAGAAGGAAATGAAAAGGTGAGGGGCAAACAGAGTCATATTCATAATGAAAAAACCATTTTTAGATCCATCCTAAAATTAAATTTTGTGACTGAAAGGATAATATCCATATGCTTGCAAGAAACACCTGTTAATGTCATTCAGATATATGTACCAACAACTAGAGCCAAAGAGGAGAAAATAGAAGATTTCTACAAACTTTTGCAGTTGGCTATTGATCAAACATGTAACCAAGATGCAGTAATAATAATGGGTGACTGAAATGCAAAAGTGGGAAACAAGGAAGAAGGTTCAGTAGTTGGAAAACATGGTCTTGGAGACAGAAATGAGGCAAACAGATGCTGTCCAGGATGTGCTCACCAAGTTGTGAAAATATGTTATTTGCAAAGTAAATTGATTTAGGTTTATAATGCCAGGAAGATCAATCTAAAAAAAATTAATATAAAATGTTTTTTATCTTTTCTATTTCAAATTAATTGTTGAGCATTTTAGCAAGATAATTACTAGTATATTTTGTAATTTATGTACTCCTTGATAGACTTTTAATACTTCGACTTTTACAAATTTATGAATTCATAGTTTGGGCAGTTATGAGTTACACATACAAATCCTCAGTCCAATCAGAATAATATGTCTTCTTCCTTCTTGTCCAAACTAGAAGCTAAGTAATTTTTAAATTCTTTTTAGACTTCCTAGAGACACTTTTTAAAAGGTTCATTTGTTTTCATAAGTACTTATGACATGAATTATTATAAGTGTGTTGCTAACAGAAGCTGACAATACTTATAACAAAAGCAGACAACAGATGTGCTCCCCAGGAGGCTTCATTTTTAATGACTGTCAGCCACACAAATGGTTTTTGAAACTATCTGCTAGCTCTAGGATATTTGTGTCAGTTTATGTATATCCCAAGGTGGTATTTGAGCAGAGTCTATTCTTATCTTCAGTTAAATATAAATTCTTTATGTCTTTTCACAATTGTGTGTTGATTGTGGAGCTAAGCAAGCTGAAGTTGTTAACAATACCTATGTTCGTCTTCATCTATCATGATGCTGCCATTTGTTCCAGTTGTGAGAATCTTTGTTTTCTTGATGTTGAACTTCAATCCATATTGAAGGCTGCAGTCTTTGCCCTTCTGCGACAAATGCTCACTTTCAGCAAGGAAGGTTGTGTCATCTGCATAGCACGCATAACACAGGTTGTTGAGTTTCCTCCAATTCTGTTGCCACATTCCACCTCATAAAGTCCAGCCTCCTGGATGATCTGTTGTGCATATAGATTGAAAAGGTATGGAGATAGGATGCATCCCTGACATACCACCTTTTCTGATTTTGAACCATGCAGTATTTCCTTGTTCTGTTCTGAGCTGCTTCCTAGTCAAAGTATAGGTTTTGCATAAGCGCAATAAGTGTTCTGGAGTAACCAGGAAATCAAAAGACAAATTGCATTGAAAAAAATCTGCTGTCAAGCACTTCCCCAGAGTACTGAGGAACAATGGTGTCAGTCCAGAGACTAAGGTATGCCTGATCCAAGCCATAGTCTTCACAGTTACTGCTATGCGTCAGAGAGCTGGTCAGTGAACAATGATAACAGAAGAAGAATCAATGCCTTCAAATTGTGGTGCTGGAGAATAGTATTGAACATACCACGGGCTGCCAAGAGAACATCTGCCCTAGAGAGGGTGAAACCAAGCTACTCTTTGCAGACAAGGATTTTGAAGCTCCATATGACATACTTAAGACATGTGGCCAGGAGGAAACAGTCCTTAGAGAGGAAAGGTGGAGGGACAGCACAGGAGAAGAAAACCCCAGATAGGATGGATTTACCTAGTAACTGGAGTAATGTGGTTAGTTGTGTCAGAGATAGTGAGATCGGTTCAGGATAGAGTAGAGTTCAGAACTATTGAACGTTGCTATGAGTCTCAAGCAACGTGACAGGCACATAACAACAGCTATCCTTTAAAGAAATCATTACGATGTTATACATTCCAAGATAAGTAAATTTGAATTTGGCTTCATATGTCTTTTTCATTACTTAGGAAATTAAAAGGAAATTATTATCTCCTTGGCAAAGGGAGCTATTAGAACAGAACAGAAACAGATAGTTCTCTGTCACTGTGTTTTTACTCTTTACAACAAAACTTATTCTTCAGGGATTTTAAAATTGTTTGTTGCCTGATTTTCTCCAAAAGTAGTAGTTCTGGATTGTTCATATTCATTGGTGATCTTTATTCAGAGACCTATCCTTATTTAAAAAATGCTGTATAAAAATCCTAAGCTTCATCTTTTAAAATATGATCATTTAAATGACTATATCCAAGTCATTGAGGTTGTGCTTGAAAAATTGAAAGTCAAATATATGACCTACCTGAAATGAACTACCTGTTAGCTTTTAGAATACATGAAGATTTTATTCTTAAAGTTTTGAGTATTTAAGAATCACTATAAGACTTTTTAAGAAGTTACTGAGTTCCTACCACGGTTTCTAATTCAGTAGCTAATAGCCTGAGAATTTGCATTTTTTTTTCTCTTTCACCAGAAACTTTATTATTTTTCTTCTTTTATTGTTTCACATTTTCTCTTCCTGACCCCCGCAGCCCACCCGATAATGCACTTCTTGTTCCAGATTGTTGTCGTACATATAATCACTATCAAATACTCCTTTTGGACAGTTCTTTTCCTTTATCTGTTCTAATGCAATGTTTCATTATCCACTCTTTCTCCATTCCACCCCCCCAACTCTTCCATGTCAGTCCTATTTTATAGCAGCAGTGTTATGCACTAATTTTTCCTTTGTGACTGAGATGTTTCACTTAATTTCCTCATGGTTCCCCCATGTTTTGTAATGTTTTACTATTTTAATGGTTTTCAGTGCTGCATAATATTGTAGTACTGCTGATTGTAGGTTTTTCATTATTCTTGGAAGACTGTTCATGCTGTGGATTAGCTCTTAAAGTTCTTCCTACCTTTCTCTGATGAATTTTATAGTCTTTGGTTTTACTTCTAGATTCCTATCTACCTTGAGATGGAGTTTGTGTAAGGTGTAAGGTGTGAGGTGTTGGTCTTGCTTAAGTTTTTTACAGTTTCCCAATGTTGCCAGCACCATTTGCTAAAGATTCCCCACTAAACTGATATTATCTCGTTGTCAAAGATCAATTTACCATAGGTAAATGAGCTTATTTCTAATGTGTTCCCAAGTTCCTAATTGTACTGGTTTAGAGACCACATTTTCAACAACCATTATTCTAATAATAAACTTCTCAATCTCTAATAGTTATGATTTTGAATGCAGATTCCGGTTTAGGAGATTTTTTTTTAGGAGCTGAGGGTCTGCATTCCTAACAGATTTTTATATGATTTCAGTGTTTCTGATCCCAAGACCACACTTTATATAAAGCTAATAAAAGCTTTTAATAAAGCTAGAATTTTATGAAGAATCTTATAAAAATTTAATGTTTTTATCTACCCATGTTGTTGATTGCCCTTGAGTCGAGCACAACTCATAGGCCTGAAGCCTTTCTGTAACTATCAACATTTATCAAAGTTCATCGAGTTTCTGGAGGCATGTTGTTTAGGAGGTGGATGCCATTACACTTCCAAGATCTATCCATAGATAAAGTTCACTTAATGTTAATGGATCTCAGCTCACTTATAATAATCTGTTGTTGTGTATCATCGAGTTGGAACTGACCTATAGCTGATCCTCCTGCAGGTTTTCAGAGGCAGTTAGTCATCTGGGAGAAGATTGCCCCTTCTTTTCCCACAGCACAGCTAGTGGACTCGAAGTGTATGCCTTGCAGGATAGCTTCTTGTCATTAGGCCACCAGAGCTCCTTAATAATCTAGATATACCCAAATGATTATTTAAATTAGGAACTAATTAGACTAAGTGGTAGAGTTGTACTGCCAATCAAAAGGCACATGATTTGGATCCTCCAGCTTCTCTATGGAAGAAAGGTGGGCAGTCTCCTTGTGCAATTTACTGCTTCTGAAAACCTGCTGGAGGATCAGCTGTGGGTCATTTCTGAACTGATCATGCACAATAGTAACAACATTTCATTTATTTCCCTCTACAATTAAATCTGCTCAGTAAGTTAATTTTCTCTCTTGTTCTTTGCCTTCCTCCTTTTTTTTTAATTGATACATATCTGATAATCTTTACTTTTCCAGACCATTAGGATCAGAAAACTTGCTTCTTAGAGGAGCCACGCTAAAGAACACAGAGAAAATCTTTGGTAAGTATTTTAATTAATGTATTATTAATAATGTCTTAAGGGGTACCTTAAGCAAAGTTGATATCTTTATTGATATCATGAAACCAACTGTGAAAATAGTGTGGCCATTTTGAAGGCAGCAGCTTTTTACTTCTAGGAACTCCACAAGGGGAAAGAGTCCCCATGAGGTCAGACATATCCCTAGTCTTGCAACATCTATCAATTGTAACAACAGCATTCCTCCCAGGGCTCTTGTTTTTACTGTTCTCCTACTGGTTCTGCTAAACCATTGCAGTGGCCACGCAGAACTCACTAGCAATCTCATGATTATAGAGTTTATTAAAAAGTAACAGATTACAATTCAGGTAGAAAATAGAATACACTTCTTCCATTAGGACAGCTTACCAAGTGTGCTCACAGGAAATTCGCTCTTACCTTTAGCTTTGTGGCTCTGGGCCAGCGTTACACAGCTCTTACAGTCATGCCAATTACATTGTCGGTTCCCACTCTTCTGCCATTAAGCTTAGGTGAAGGCCATCAATTCTGTCATTATCATCAGCAGTGTCAGTTCAGCTGTCTCACATGGATCTCTCGCTCCCCATGGACTCAGATTTTTCACTACATCTGCTGCTACTGTTAATAGTCGCAGTTCATCTAGCACAGGAATCTCTGAACCAGAAGGGTACACTGTACTTGCTTCTTCTTGATAATGACAAGATCCACATTTTTTTTTGTCTCTGAACCTGCTCAACTTAGCCTGATAGAATGGCAAGAATAGCTAATCCCTTCATTACTAAATTATATATCCTACTTACACATACCAGTCCAAAAGGTAATGTTTTCCTCATCCATATTATTAACCTAGTCTAGGCTAGACTTGGCTCAAATGTCAAAACCAGTGTATTTGAAAGCCATTTTGAACAATCAGTCTATTAAACAACAGTGTCACATTGTTTTTTAAATGTTTATTTACCATAGACATTTTCATTTAGAGCAGTGACAGCTATGGATATTGTTTGTATATTAAGTACTTGTTTTTTATCTAAAGCATAAAACTATATTCATGAAAGTAAAAATTATATCCATGAAAATAATCCTAAAATACAGTCCTATAGGAAATTTCTTTTAAAAGTGATATTTCTTTGCTATTATCTCTCCTTTCTGGTGGATTATTTATTGTGTTTAATGAAATAAAACAATTTTTAAAATTCTACAATATATTTATTCCATTGTGATAGAGTAAACTTAGAATTTAAGAGATTATTCACAGTTAATGCTGGAGGGGTGATGGCCTCTTTACCCTAAATGAGCCTGGTCCTGTGAAAGTTTACAAACCTGATTAGTTTTTCATTTAACCTTTCATACTTATTTTTTAATTACAGTACACATATGTAATCACACTGTTGCCACTTACTCCCTGTAATTCTAATTTCCATTCATTTTTATAACAGCTTTATAAGCTTTATCCCTGGAAGTAAACTGGCCTTTTGATCCTTTGTGATTTATTTTTTTAAGGCATGCACCTCCCTACTGTTATCATTCTTCTTTGTTATTAGGGCCTGTCAATTCAACTCTGGCTGAAAGCAATCCTATGAGAAACACCCCTAAATCTTTCCTGTCCTGTGTCATCCTCACAGTCTCCCATGTGCTCAAGCCCATTTTGCTGTCATTGTGTGACATCATCTTATTGCAGGTCTTCCTCTCCTTCACTGACCTCCTACCTTTCCAAGCATGATGTCTTTTCCAGTGATTGACTTTTCTGGATAACATGCACTAAAAGCATGTGAAACAAAGTCTCATCATCATTGCCTCTCAAGGAACAAAAGTCTGTTATCATAGTTGTAGTTATTGTTGGATGTCATAGTGTCAGAGCTGACCCACCAGGTTTTCAGAATTAATCACATGGGAGGAGACTGCCCATCTTTCTCCTACAGAGTAGCTAATAGCCTCAAACTGCATGCCTTTAGGATTGCAGTGCAACTTTTCCCACCAGGCCACCAGAGCTCCGTATTATCATAGTATCTATCCAAAACTTACTGAGTTAAAGCAATATACATGTGTTATTTTAACATTTATTCTTCTGTTTTACAGGAGTTGCAATTTACACTGGCATGGAAACAAAGATGGCATTAAATTATCAATCAAAATCCCAGAAACGATCTGCTGTAGAAAAGTAAGTTTCAGAGCCATGTTATTTAAAGTGTGTAAAACTCTGTGATTTTAAACTACTTCAGCCACAGTTGATATGAAAGTATTTTCCTTTTGAGCTTATTTGCAGTTTCTTCATGATTTACTTTGGAAGTCACTTAGTAACTATTAGTTATTTATTTGGATCAACATTATTTTATGGTGTAGTGAAAAGCCACAAATCTTTTAATTTTAGGTTTGAAATGAATATTCCATATTCATTTAAAGGCCTTATTTTTTTATAGGCATTCCAAAGAACATATTAGTTTTCAAGTAAGTTGCAGTTGACTGTAAAATAAGAGATTTACATTTTTTTTAGTATTTTTAA